AAAAAACTGTTGATATCTACTGCCGGTGATTATCGTTTTGTCTATACTTTTGGTCGTCTGTCATTTGAGAGTTCTCCTTGGCATTTATTGATGATATTTATCTACTAGTTTCATTGAGTCTGGCCTTTACCTAGCGGGCAGCTTTGACTGTATGCATGCTATGCTGAGAAGCCAATAAATGAATTATAGATACTGTCTGCAGTCTACTAAACTAAATGGATGCTTATATCCTGCCTAAAAATACGGTCCAGACATCTAATCGTTGGACCAGATGGGGGAAGGTCAATACACCTTATCGTTGTACTTGGAAACGCTGACTCAACGCCAAAGTTTGGAATGACCTACATTATAAATATCTAAGAAAAGCATCGGTGCCAATACCGCTGAAGCAAAGAATTGCCACTTCATCACTGAGCCTAGCCAGCTTCTTGGATATAAAGAATGGATTGAAAGAATGTATTCAATATCATTACACAGAAAGATTGAAATCGCCTTAGACTAGATTTGCAGCGGGTGAAGATGTGTTCATTCTAGAAACATAAACCACATTATGGTCACTCATGCATTTGCCCATTTTCGCCGTCCAAGCGACGGTGCAGAAAACGCCGCCATCGATCTACACTGTGGTTCAAAGATAATGCCCGTCCGCCATATGCTTCAGCGAAAGACGCATAACTCAGCATCGTTTACCTGACATGGTTTATGGAGGAAGCATTACCGTGGAATGTTTCATAGGATTATTTCTTGACAGCTGAAGGAATTATGGCAGATGGGGTCTTATTGCCCGGGTGGCAAAAGCAATGCTACGTAAATCATATTATCGAATTCCAATGTCTACGTCTGTATCGTGACAGTATATCTTATCTTCATTATGTATATCAATTTTAGAAGGTCATGTTACAGCAGGGACACCATATTTTAAATTTCGTCATTCAAAATGTGGTACCCCTGTTCGTATAGATCTCACATCTTTTGCATAGATGTACGAGCAAGTCAGTAATGTCTGATTTATGGTCGCCATTTTCTCTCATTTAATCATCGTTATTTAATATAAACAGGTGGCAACGCGGCAATTTGTCACAGCAAAATGTTTCAACACCTTATAATGAGACCTATAAACTGGTTCTTGTACTAAACTGTGATGCTAATATTACGAGGATTGCAATGAGACGAGCCATTATATTACATCATGATGCATGGAATAGAACACTACCTGTAAAAGCCCTCATTGTTAGTTACGCATGTATGGGATTTTGCTATCGATCTACATTGAAAGCAACAACTTGATTTGTACTGATTGAATGGTGCCTTTCTTTTGAGTGCCAGACCACTTATGTTAAGTATGAATAAGAAAAAGTAAAGAGTTGTAGTAAATGATGTGCACAAATTACAAGGCTAAATTACCATAGTCTGCCATTACAATACATTAAAGGCGACATTAAAGCGGCCTGGTAGCCCATTCAGCTACTGAAAAATTTCAAGATTTTTCTATTAGCAAAGAAAAATCTCAAATTTTTATAGTAGCCACAAAAATGTCGAAACTTCTTGAAAACATTTCGACATTTTTTAGAAAAATTTCGAGATTAAAAAAATATCGTAATTTACATCGAGATTTTTCGTTTTCAATCAATGAGGCATGAAGAGTCTTACTGGGGGTATTATGATCCATTGGGTGACAGATAACCTATCCACCATCAAATATTTAAGAAGAACTAGCGTTGAAATCAATGTGCTCACTGTTGATTACATTTAGTCAAGCAACAACAGGTAGACAACAGTCAAATAAACCCTGATGCGTCAAAACAAAAGCATGTCCATAAATCAAAGCCGTAAAACGGTTCCAATGTTCACACTATTCAGTAAATTGGACTCGAGGTCAGAAGTCACGAAGATGCACGAGACATGCGTCTCAAAGCTACTTTGAACTGTGATAGGGTTGATATGCGCCTAATGTCAGCTGGTAGTGTGTTGTAGTATGCTGTGCCTCTGAATGCGAATGTGCGGTGGCCAGCTGCGGTAGTATAGCTGGGTTTGTGAAGCAATGAGGTAAATCATTACTATACAAATGAACAGTAAGGGGCCCAGGATGGAGCCCTGTGGTACACCTAAGGTAACTGGTTAGAAGTCAGATTCACATCTATTCATGCTGAGTCTGAACCAGTAAAGTTCTTCACCCTGAACACCAACCCAGGACAGTTTCAGAAGTAGGACATTCTCATCAGCAATATCAAATGCTAACAAACATAAAACTATCTATGCTGTGTGCAGTAATCTGTGGCATCAAGAAGGGTTGTAGTTGAAACCTGACTGTTGTGTAGAGAGAATCTGGTGAAGATGCAAGCATTGTAAGAACTGCCCATGTAACGTTGCCACTTTTACAAATGCCTTCATTATGATAGGCAATACTGAAATAGGTCTATGTATGGGTGTACCTCTGCCATGGCCTTTTCCCATTCTCTTGGAATGTGGCCTGTATTGAAGGACATTCAATATACAGTATGAGCAATAGGTTTACAAACCCAAAGGTGCATTGTCATCAGATAGAGTTAGAAGTTCAAGGGTTAGGTGTAACAAGTCGATCGGTGTAATATAGCCAGCTGCCTCCGCGCCGCGTGCCTGCGAAGCTGGTGGGTTACACCGGAAGGTGGTTATACCGGCTATACACACACAGATACAGAAACCCATGGTGCAGCAACTTTCTCTGCATATGTCACTTCAGTAAACATGGTCAATGAAACGAAAATTAGTCATGAAATATGGGTTGGAATGCCAATCACCTGCTACAGTTGAAACTTGAATTTGCAGCTGGGGGTCTTGAGGTTGGTGTTAAAGTTGCCCAAAAGGAACAGCTCAGACTCAAGAGCATCCCTCAAGAAGGAGAAAAACTCTTCTGGGCTTCTTGACAGTCTGTGTACAAAAGCATTTAGTAATTGATTTAGTGTATTGCAACTGAGAAGAAAACCAGGCTGTATCAGCTCAGGTCTTTAAGCATGGCTGTGAGCCTCAGACACAAATTTCTGTCATTTCTGTAGTGATAACCATTTATATGCAGTTCAGAGTCAAGGATGGTACTGTCGCTAACCATCATAACATCAACATTAATTAAGACATAACACAGACAGTTGGTCAAGTTTGCTCTACAGCAGGCTACAGATATTCAGATGTACAATGATAAAACCCTCTGACAGGAGTATCATAGAACAACTTCTTCAGATTTCTTCTTCATTTGAGTCATCGTCATTTTCTCCACAATCCCCATTTTCACCAGTAGTCACTACTGTGGGCTAAATCATGGTATGTTTGTATGTCCATGTCAATACATTTGCTATGAAACAAAAACATCATATAGATCACAGCAAATACCTTTCTGGTTTCTTCTAACTCCTTTCTTGCAAACACCACAAGTATCCTTGACAGTTGCCAGGCCCTGAGACATTACAGAAAGCAGAAGCCATGTATGAAAATTGACATTAGTCAGGTCTTAGCAGTGGTACTGTTACATGATTGTTGCTTAGGTGTACCAGGTATTCCACTGTCATATTCTTTTGAGAACAGGATACCTAGAACATAACTATGGTATTAACTGCAGTGAAACAATGTTAATGTTAATGTAAATACCATAGTTTACCATTCAGCAACCTATATGTTGTCTGGACAATTGACATGTTACTAATACATGTATGTCAAATGTCCAGACAACATATTATAGGTTGCTGAATTGATTTACTGGTTACATTACCTAGGACATGCAGGATTTGCTAACTGTAGGGGCAGGCCAGTAATGGGTATAAATTGTAAGTACATGGTAAACCCCATGTTCAAAAAGAGTCCAACATATTATTAGATCACAGCAGCTTGGTCGATGCAGAAATTTGCTAACTGTAGGGGGAGAGCAGTAATGGGTATAAATTATAAGTACATGGTAACAATAACCTACCTACCTACCTACCTAGTCCCATGACCCACACAGGTCGTCGGGGGGACAAGGCAGACCTTGCAGCAGAGGTGTAGCCATTAGTCTTCCTGTCTTGGGCTGCTGTCAGGAGTTGTGGGACGGTGAGGGACAGGATTTGCTAACTGCAGTAATGGGTATAAATACATGGTAACCACCATGTTCCTAAACTATCCAACACTACAGCTTGGACGATACAGTAACGAAGTACAGATTGCAAGGTCCAAAGATGGTCTATAACAAGTTAAGTGCCATTGAGATGAAAAAACTTGACGCTGATCGACTGTGCTCTGTCGAGACTGAGTACCCTCCCCACCTATACCATAACAGGTTAATTTTCGCGCCAAACGCAGACGACATTTAGAAACGGCAATGAAACTGAGGGGAAAAGTCCGGCATCGGAAACTTCTACACCTATTTTGGGATGAATATAGTTGTGTCTCTATCACATATACAGAAAGAAGATCGAATAAGCGAATTAGTGTGAGAAAAAGATAAATTTTGTGGGCTTACTCTCCAGTATCACCGGACGCTACCGGACGCCGCCATCTTTGACGCTGCTGACCTCTGACCTCATGGCGACTTTTGAAATTTTATCAACCTATTAGTGTAGGAGTATGTAATGTGGGTTTGTTTATACATTGGTAAGCCATTAGCTATGGAAAAAAGAATAATTAAGTCCATTTTGACCAAATGCTGAACTAGCACCTCTTCTTGTGCACTCTGCTATTTACCAAAGATTGTTTATTGCAATCTAATTGTCACAACCTGACCGAATTTGTTGTGTTGTTACATGCATTTTGCAACGTAAAGGCTGTGCAGAGGAAAATCAACTATTTATAGATAATCTATCAATAACTATTTCAAGCTTAAATGTAATGGCTATTTGTTTAGTATAATTATTATGTTAGTAATTGTTATTGTTATATTGTATAGGAGGAGGGGCAATCTGAAAGACGATTGGTGTCACCTGTTTTGCCCCTCCCCTCCATTGTGCTTGTACTCAGTGGTACATTAAAATGAACAGATATCGCTTTGTGTTTTACAGACGAATGGTTGTGTCTGGACTGAAGCCTACCGGTGCCCGGCATGTGTTCCCCTGTATGGACGACCCAGCTATGAAAGCCACCTTTGACGTCATAATTGAACATCCATCAGGTAAGGATACCTCTACTGACCAACTTACGTACTTAGGCTTAGATCCTTCCGTACCTAGTGGCATACCGGGTGTCAGACTTAATCAACTTATTAGTGTGGTCTCGGGCTATGTTTTATGGCTACTTCAGATGGCCTAGGGTGTCCATGGTCATTTGATGTTGCTGGTGGAAAACAGTTGGTTGTTTTGTATCGTCAGGTTATGGCTTTAATTGGTGGTATTCAGAAAATAAAGAGACGCCTCACGTTGCTTTTTTTGCGCTATTTCAAACGCTTGAGGTATCAACTGTGATAAGAAATGGCAGTAAATGCCAGACAGGTTTCATAATGTAGATTTTTTTTGCTACACTGGAATTGTATGACATGCCTTAAACTGTGTGATCTTATGTTCTATTCTAGAAGCATAATTGTTGAGAATGATGAAGATTGGCCACGTACATCATCATAAATCTATATCTACATCAGCTATAAACCAGTCATATATCAGGTTGTTTTATGAATTATAAATAAAGAAAACACAACAATATTTTTCTCTTCTATTTACCTGCAACAGACCAGATCGCTCTCACCAGCAGTCCGTCAGAAAGCACAACCACACTGGCAAACGGCTGGATACGAGAAACGTTCTACAGGACGTCAAAGCTGTCTACTCATCTGCTGGGGTTTGCTCTGTTTGAAGGGTTAACTGAATTAGAAAGATATTCATCTAGAGGACAAGTGGTGAGGATGTGTGATGATATTCAGAATATTACTTGGAACCATTTTGAGATTCAGCTTCAAAATAAATTATCTATACTTTTGGAATTTGTTTTCATTACAAATAACGAAATCTTTTTTTATATTTCAGTCCATACCATGATATGGATGAAATATATTGTGTTCTCTCATGTTTCTTCTCCTCCTTCTTCTTCTCCTCCTCCTGCCAAACAGTCAAAGGGATTCAACTCCGCCATCATTCACCTAAATGACTTGAAATTTGGCACGGAGGTAGAGTGGGCCAATACCCCCAGGCGTTTTTTTTTAATTTTTTTGATACATGCCTTTGAAAAATTTTTATGAAGGTTTTTGGGGGCATTTTTCGCCAAAAATGGATTTTTGGATCCTGAGCCCTGGTTTTACAACCAAATGATCTGAAATTCGGTATAAGGGTACCTTGAACATGTGTCTACAGAATAGCAGTCACATATTTGGCATAAACCACTTCCAAATGACTCATTTGGGGGACTTTAACGTTAATGGCTATTTTCAGCAAAAAAGGGCCCAAAGTGCTATACCCGTTCCATGTTCTATCTGCAGTTGGCCATGGAACACGTGTTCCATTGCGGGTTACCTGAGGTCACATTGCACGTAAGTCGTGTGTAATGACCCACACATTCAATTTTATGTGCCTAAGACCTTCAAAATGTATCAAATCTCATCATTGTTAGTATTTGCATACCTGTAATAAGATAAGTAAAGCTTTCGAGATTCAATGTGCTTGTTCTGCATCTTTGTTCTCAATTACATAGCTACTATATAATTCATTTATTTGAAAATATTTGCCAGCTTTACACTGGGGTAAGTTTGGAATAGTCCACTTTTGCGTGGGAGGGAGATGGACTGAAATATGCTGTATTTGCTCCGAAGCAAATGTCGGCCTCTCTAGTTTTTATTTTGAAATCTTGAAGTCTCATCTGTATTGCCCGATGATATGGCCCCATCTCGTTACCACTGTGAAATGTAACAGAAAGCATCAAGAAGTTAACGAATTGTTTTAGGTTCAGTGTTTGTTTATTCCAGGTGCGAGTGTGGTCTCCGTTTGATCCAAACACGTCGCCAGCTGCTGAAGTCGCGTTAAACACAACCCTGGATGCCATTAGCAACATGAAGGATTTGTTGGGGTTAGATTATCTTCTTCAAAAGACAGGTAAGCCGAGAGGCCGAATTGTCCAGTGTGGGCAAACGTAAAAGTAGCTGAAATTTAATATTCAAGTGGTCGTACTTATGACTTTAAGCAAATTAAAGTGTGTCAAAACGGACCTTTTAAGAGTGCTTAAAGAGCGGATTCCGTGTAGTGATAACGGCCAGATATACGATCTAGAAATCACAGGTTCGGTCCCTAACATTCCTGAATAGAAACTGTGTCCTTTTTATCCATACGTGATCCTGCATATCCTTCTCTATCGTAAATGGGACAACCTTTGTTTCACCCATGCATGAAAGGTTGCTCTATCAAGAGCAACTTATAGTCTTTTTTGGAGCCAAACGTTGCTCTTTTCAAACAATGCTGTCCTTTCAGAATCAGGTTATATCTCGCACTTTCAGTAATGAATCAATATCGCGAGGCTCATCTGACATTTTCTACTTCTATTTTCCCCTTCGGCGTAGCACAACATCTGTGCAGGCAGTAGGCTAGCTGGCTACATTACACTAAACAAAATGCTACAGAAAACCTTTGCACACCTGCAGCTGTTTAAAGCTATTTAGTGATGAGGCGCCTACTGTTCTTTGTGACAGCAAGCTGTACTCTTTCATATGCATAGTTCTGTGAAAAAGAGTCTTTGGTTGATAACCCTTGTATTGATTCATAGTTTTATTCTGATTTGGTGTTAGATACGTAATAGCTGTTACGTCCACCATGGTCTGGACATTTTTCATTAATAAGAAATCTCCTCTGGTTCTCCTCTGTGTGTTTTCAGATGTGCTGCCCGTCCCTGGCCAAATCGTGCCTTATGACGTGTACAGTGGCCTTCTGATGGTCAGGGATACTTTGCTATTTTGTGATGTCGACGATTCAAGCATCCGTGATCAACTACAATGTGCGATGGCACTCAACCATGCAGTCGCGCACTATGTACGTAAATACATACAATCTTTCCGTTCTAAGAACATCTAAGATACCCTCCTCGTCCTACCCTTGGTATTTAACGAAGTGCTGTTGGTTTTGTTGTTCAAAGTCAGAAGAATTGTATTAGCAAACGGCAGGCTACATATATAAATATACTTGAAGTATAGTAAAGAAACACATCACATACAATTAAAGGCCATATGACTCCAATAACAATAAAATATATCAGTTCCTGAAAATAGTCAAATACGATATAGAGAACACCTTGTTAAGCTAAGGTCCCAATTACGCCGGTGCCCGTCGGGGATGTAGCCCCGGCTGGCCCCGGCCGGGTTCAGGAGTCGAGCGGGCATCGGCTGTCGTGGTCACAATTAAAAGTTTCCTCCAGTAGCATTTTGTTAGAAATTTTGTCACCCTCTTTGGTCTGTACCCGGCAGGCACCCGGCAGGTACCCAGCAGATTCTCTGGCGATGTCTTGTATTGACCTTTACGTAATGCAAAATTCACGTATTTGTTGTGATCATTTGATCTGTGAGGTCACACATTTTACCCGGGTTTATGAAGTACACACCTTTATTCTGTTCATCTGGTCTGTGACGTAAGAAATGTGTCCCGGTGGAATGCCGGCAACCGGAGGGGTACCTCTCGGTGTTCTCACGATGAGGTCACGGCGTCTTTTTGTCAGCGGGGCCCGGGTAGAATTTAACTCAGAATTAAATTCTTCTCGGGTCCCCGCCGGGCCAAAAAAATAGCCCGGTAGCCGCAGGGTGCCCCGCAGGGCCACGTCGGGGTCCCGCCCGAAAGTGGTAAAAAACAGCCCGGGAACTACCCGCCAGGGCCCCTTTTCCCAATTGGGACCTTAGCTTAAGCCGCATTGCTAGCCCTACATGTTGGCAGCAAAATATGTTTTTTTTCTCTCTCTAATGTTTGCACTTAAACTGATTAACGCTTTCCACTAATAGGATGTGGTACTGATAATTACTCCGTGAAGGAGGTCAGGACCTCCGGACGGAGTGTTGTAATCGGCTGATTTTTCATGTTCGCAGTCAAAACACTGGGTTCTCTTCGTGTAATCGGCACGCAATTTTATACGCCGTCTGCGGGCATGCCCGTGTTGATGCACGAATGTGTATTTTTGCCGTTGCTGCTTTCGCGGTCAATGTAATATCGCAGACGCACCCCTACAATTACGAGGCGAATTGGAACGGTCCAGAAAAACGCGTTGTTTGGAATAGCGGGGGGGAGGTAAAAGTTCAAGCAGATACGGGGTGGTTTTTATAAGTGGTTCCAGATGTTTTTGCCCATGGTTAAGAGATGCCAAGTTTTTTGGAAGATGTTCGCAGCCAAAACGCATTCTGCCGTACGTCGCATATCTGTGTAATTTCGCATGTGGTGTTGCATTATGTCCGGGATGATGCACGTCTTTTTATTTTTACCGTAGCTGTTTTGATATTGGAGTAAATGGTTATTTTCGAAACATCCC